GGTGAGGACCTTTGCAACTGCACCTTCTCCCTCGCCTACGGTGCCAAGATTCTGCTCAACCAGACTCACCTTCGCCTGAAGCGTGGTCAGCGTTACGGTCTCTGCGGTCCCAACGGTTCCGGCAAGTCCACTCTCATGCGCGCCATCGACAACGAGCAGGTCGAGGGTTTCCCCAAGCAGAGCGAGGTCAAGACCGTCTTCGTCGAGCACGACCTTGACTCTGCCGATACCGAGATGACCACCATTGACTGGACCATCAAGAAGCTGCGTGAGGCTAACGTCCAGACCCCTGTCGAGGACGTCAAGGCCAAGCTCAACGAGTTCGGCTTCACCGAGACCATGGTGTCTGGTGAGATCACCGCTCTGTCCGGTGGTTGGAAGATGAAGCTCGCTCTGTGCCGTGCCGTCTTCGAGGCCCCCGATATCCTGCTTCTCGACGAGCCTACCAACCATCTCGACGTGAAGAACGTCAAGTGGCTCGAGGACTACCTGCAGAACTCCCCCTGCACGTCCATCATCGTCTCCCACGACTCTGGCTTCCTCGACAACGTCTGCCAGCACATCATCCACTACGAGCGCTTCAAGCTCAAGCGCTACCGTGGTAACCTGAAGGAGTTCGTCAAGAAGTGCCCCTCGGCCAAGTCTTACTACGAGCTCGGTGCCTCCGAGATGGAGTTCCAGTTCCCCGAGCCCGGTTTCCTCGAGGGTGTCAAGACCAAGGCCAAGGCCATTCTCCGTGCCACCAACATGACCTTCCAGTACCCTGGCACCACCAAGCCCCAGATTCAGGAGATCTCCTTCCAGTGCTCGCTCGGCTCCCGTATTGCCGTCATTGGCCCCAACGGTGCCGGCAAGTCTACCCTCATCAACGTCCTCACTGGTGAGCTCATCCCCACCTCGGGTGAGATCTACCAGCACGAGAACATCCGTATCGCCTACATCAAGCAGCACGCTTTCGCTCACATCGATAACCACCTCGACTCCACTCCCTCCGAGTACATCCAGTGGCGTTTCCAGACTGGTGAGGATCGCGAGACTATGGACCGTGCCAACAAGATCATCACCGACGCCGACGAGAAGGCCATGGACAAGATCTTCCGCATCCAGGACTCTCAGCGTCGCGTCATCGGCATCAACGCTCGTCGCAAGTTCAAGAACTCGTACGAGTACGAGTGCTCCTTCGCTCTGGGTGAGAACGTTGGCATGAAGAACGAGCGCTGGACTCCCATGATGTCCGCCGACAACGTCTGGCTGCCCCGTAACGAGCTTCTGGCTTCTCACCAGAAGATGGTCGCCGATGTCGACATGAAGGAGGCCCTCGCCTCTGGTCAGTTCCGTCCCCTTGTCCGCAAGGAGATTGAGAGCCACTGCGCCAACTTTGGCCTCGACGCCGAGCTTGTCTCCCACTCCCGCATGCGCGGTCTGTCCGGTGGCCAGCGTGTCAAGGTCGTCCTCGCCGCGTGCTCGTGGCAGCGCCCCCATCTTATCGTCCTTGACGAGCCCACCAACTACCTCGACCGTGACTCCCTGGGTGCTCTGTCCAAGGCCCTGAAGTCCTTCGGTGGTGGTGTCATCATCATCACTCACAGCGCTGAGTTCACCAAGGACCTGACTGAGGAGGTCTGGGCTGTCCTCGACGGTAAGATGACTCCCTCCGGCCACAACTGGGTCCAGGGCCAGGGCGCTGGTCCCCGTCTCAAGGCCGACGAGGGCGAGGAGGAGGAGAAGTTCGATGCCATGGGCAACAAGATTGTCTCCACCAAGAAGAAGGCCAAGCTTACTTCTTCCGAGCTCCGCAAGAAGAAGAAGGGTATGTTCCATCTCTGCCGCACCCCACCATGATGACAATTCACTAACTCTTGCCTTTTCCAGACCGCATGGCCCGTCGCAAGCGTGGTGAGGAGGTCTTCTCTGACGAGGATGACTAAATCATTTCGCCCCCCCCTACGAGCGAAATCCTGTTCCTCAATACCCACCACCTCGGCATACCGCCCTTTTCCTTTGTTACGAGCCTTCCGCCACGAAAAAAAAAGTCGTTCCCGGGTTGTTTGGTTGCATGGTCGCGGGCTTCTGGTTTTGACGTATAATTCCCTTTTCTTGATGATGCATCCCCATGAGATTCCCCCAGACGAAACACACGCCGGAAGATGTGGAACGTTACTCGCCTCGCCGTGGGGTTGGAGGACCCCAGGGCCGAGGACGAGATGTTCCTGCGGCAGGGAATGACGTGGATGACAGTGGACAGTAGATAGACGGCAATTGAGAGCCATCAACTTCACCTTGTACACGTAACGTAATGTGATGTCTTTGGGGGTCTGCTACGGGGCGGGAGTGTCACGTGAGACTGTACTTCTGTTCCCTGTCTTCGCCCAACACAGAACACAGGGCAGGTAGATGTACGAGGCCTCTTGGCTTCAGCAAGATCGATGCATTTCGGATCAACGGGCGCAGATGGGGCACCAGACTCTCCAGAAGCAGAACTTTGTTCGCTGCGCCACGCGCCGCGGCAGCAACTCGAGATTCCATTGACCACTGGAATGCAGCCTAACCCCCCACTGCCCCCCATATGGCAGTCCAAAGACCGCGACAAAGAAGAGGGCTGATGCTTCTGGTTATAAGAGAATAATCCGACCTTCTTTGTCTCCGGTGCGGTGAGCGAGCGGTGCATTTGACGCGGCGAGGCTACCCCGGGCGAGGATGGTGGATGCTTCACTGGTGAGCGACGTGCGATGGCTTCGTTAGGGGATGCACCTTTTTGCAGCCTTCATGTGGCGCGCTCTGAGCAGAGTGTTCATCTCGTCAGCTTGCTATAATGATTCCGTCTCGCGTTTATTGCGTAGCAGCTATTTGCCAATATTTCGATACTTATTGTCAGGGGACCCTGCGGGTTCCCTGCAGAGTCGCCAGCAGGGGGTCGGTCAGAGGCTAAGGGCTACGAGAAACGTATATATATATAGGCTGCGGAGGGCCAGAATTCAGATGTATTACGACCCCCGACCTATCTTCTATCTGCTGCGGACCACGTGTGGAAGACCTCTTCACTCTGCTCTAACCAACGCTCTGACACTTACGAACCTGGCTCTGCCGCTCGATCCTGATCAAGTTCTCGCCAGTACCATCAGACCCGTGGTCGGGCGAGTTTTGACACATGGGAGACGGGAATGAGCAGGCATGTCTTGCCATATGTGGGCTTACTCATAGATAAGCCTTTGGACGGACTTGTTCCAAGGGAGCTCTCACCTGATCTACCTAGATGGTGGTCACTCCTGCGAAGACAAATTGGGATAATGACAGATGCATATGTGCCCGCTATGACCTGAGCAGTGGTTATTCCTTAAAGTATCAGGGAGCTTGGAGCTACTGCGGATAGATATTCCTTCAATTCATAGAATATCTTAACCCCGCTACGCACCATAACGATGGTCCGAGGACTCGATCGCATGCTGCCCATCCTTCATTGTCCTTCACCATTTGAAGAAACTCGAATTTTTGGTGCTCGGCCATGGCTAACAGTGGATTTTTGCATAAACAAGGAGAAAGAACTTTATCCATAGTAAGGAAGTTGGGACAATCTACCTAAGACACAATCGGAGACGATCGGATTGGGGACGGGACTGGTCGGTGGGTTCTTCAGGAGCCTGGTGACGAATATAGTTTTCTCAGCATGTCAAATTGTGCCAAAGCAAGACCTTTCCGGCAGAACCGCATAAGTTGTATGTACTGCCGCATTTTCCTGCGAGCCAGTTCTCTGGGACCTTGGACAAGGGCCTTGACACAGTGTTCAGCTCACGCTCGTCGGTAAGCAACTTGTGTGCCATGATCTCATGTTTTCGCGTCGTCATCCTCTCCTTTTCGATCTCGTTAAGAGATGAACACCAGGGGGGCTAGTCTTGGACCAGGTTCGGTCATGGCGTTGACGATTCTAGTAGTAATTCGAGTCGTCACTGTTCTAGCATGCGGGCGGATGCATGGTCAGCATACTAAATGATATCGGGTGCGTTTCCTGGGTCGTCAAGGGGCCGCAACCTTATGGTCGGTTTCCGCCAGTGTGGAACTCCGTGTCTTAGACCTTTGAGTGAAGGTTATACGCCAGTCGAAGTATCTGCACTGAGTATTAGTTAGTCGGGCTGGGACCATCGTATAGGGCAATCGTATGCGTCAGTAGACGATCTGGACAAAATCTCGATACTTGTTAAAGATGCCATGTGGTTTCAAGCTAAATACCCCCAGTATGCTACCAAATCTGCCTCCAAGTCACCTCTCCCTACCTTGAAAGTTTGATACTGGAATTGACTGAACTTGAAGGCTCAACCCCCGATGGATGTCCCAAGTCCTCATCAACCTACCTCCTAGCGGCATCAATCATCACCGTCCACCTCTAAGTAGTAACGTTAAGCCAAGAGATCCGTCAAGCTACAGATCGAACATCTATTATCATACAACGTCAAAGCAGAATCCCAAACAAAGCCTTGATATTGATGCCTGCGCCACACTCTTCCTCATCCGTCTGCATCCTTCGCCCACACTGTCTGTTCTGCCTCACCCGCGATTGCCAATGTAGACGTCAGGCGCTGCATCCTTAGCCATGCTTCGATTCTTTGTTCAAGAGCCTCAATACTCTCGGGCCCCATGCTTTCAAAAGTGAAATGGCAGCTTTGCCTTGTGTCTATTCCCGTCTTTGTTGTTATCCCTCGACCTGACCTACAGGTGTCTCCTTTGTCCGCCGCGATTGGCGACCGCTCGAGGCCGGTTGCTATGGGAGAGCTCGCGAATTTCAACACAAGCTCCCCTCATTAATTGCCATTTTGAACACCAATGAATGCACATGGCTGCTTTTGCCCTGTCCACGTTTTCTCGTTTTGTATACCCGCGCCGTGCTGCTCGCAACGCCATCGTGCACCTCCTAAACATCAACTATCGGGTGTCTCTCCACCCTTTTCAATCCACCATCCAACACTGTGGCATCGCCAACAGATCAAAGCCTTCCTGACGAACCCACAATGGCCGATAATCTTGAGATCCTCGACGCCTTGGTTGCTGACCGGCCTTCAGGACGCTACCGAGAGTTCTTGGATGACGTGCAGAACCACCCTGATAATACACTCGTAGGCCCAGAACCTGGCACGAACGCCATCAGCCCCCCATCTTTGAGCAGCTACGTCCCACCTGCAAAGACAGAGACGTGGGTGAAGCCGAGCGGCTGGACATCGAGGTACGGAGTGTCAAGGAAGACCCCGTACGTAGGAGGCGGCCGGTCTTGGATAGATCCCGACTTTCCTCGACTAAACCATGATACGTTCGAGCCGATCAACCCGCCAGACCCCGGCGACACGATTCCAGAGCCGCATCCCGAGGACCTTGATCGCTTGTTGCAGGCCGAAGAGTTGCAACGCCTGGCGCTCGGAGGGATGCGCACATGGGAGGCCGTTCTCATGGTGCAGGAAGAGGAGAACATGCCGAAGGAGACCGAGCCCCTTGCATCCAACAGGACGCTTGCCGCAAGTGACATGATCGACGAGTCGAAGTGGCTTAGAGTCCTGGGAAAGGATCGATGGATCTGCGACTTTGAAGAAGTTGTCGACGGAGACGGAGAACACAGGAAGTGGTCTGTCGACGATGCGCTGCTCTGGGGAGAGCTTCGACAAGTGCTTGACATTGCAAATCGCATTCTCAAACAGGCTTCTCACACCAGGTGGTAAGTCGCTCCTCCTAAGGGCTATCATGGATACTGACCGAAGATCCCATTTAGGATGTCTACCTTCCTCGATATGAGGACGATCCGCGCCACGAAAAATGTACAACTGCCCAAAGGCGGTAAGAGTAAAGAAAGGGGCACAATATGGAGGGCCACAGAAAGAGATCCCGACGCCCGCTTTGACGTGAGTGATTGCATAGAAGCAATCGACCACTTCTGCGAGGATGTCAATTTCACCTTTAACTCTGTCAACCGCAATTCAGAGGCGCCCAACGGCTGTCCTTATGGAGTGACTGGTCCGCTCGAGATCGATGGCCGACAATCGACCCTGATCCAGGTCGATACTATGGGTGTTCTATCCCTGATCAAACCCGGAGTCAGCGAGACATCAAAACGTCAAGCCAGAGCGCTCCTGGCGATCACAGTATGTTTTGTTCCCCCCAAGCTGATATGTTGTGCTTGCTGATGGTTGTGTGCAGATCACTCATGAGATACTGGTAAGTTTCCAGTGCAAAGGGAACTCCGCAGACAATCTTTCTTCAAGATTTCAAGCGGACGTATGACTAACATTCGTCTAGCACGGCGTCAGGTTTGGCCAGACCAATTTCAATCAGTTGACGGAAATGCTTCCCGAACCTCACCCTGATCGCGAGACCGTAAGTCACCGGCAACAACAGTTGTGCCTGCTCTTTGCTAATAGTTTGCAGTTCATGTTTAAAGAGCTGCTGTCTGAAATGGGCGAATCATTCGAAAACGCCATCTTCGGCGGTGTCGCCAATCTCAGTGCACATCCCCTTGACGGATACCGCTTCAGTGGCTCAACCAACGGCGCCGCGCTTCTGGCATCGAATGTTAAATGGCCTATCCTGAAGCCGAGCGCATGGGCGTCCCACTCCATTCGCATCGATTTGGAGTATCCGTATACCTGTGAGAGCTCGCCGGTGCCAGCTCTGTACACATGCGCCACGACGACAAAGGAATTCTGGGAGTCTACTGTTGCGAAGTATGGCACCGATGCGCTCCGAATGCCCAGGGTATTCGATACCCGTATTACGACCGGCTTCGATGTCTCTTTCGCGCCCGCAGCCTGGAATCACGACTTGAAGACCAATGCTTCACTCGAGCGGCCGCTGAAGCAAATGGCTCGTCGGATTCAGTATCGAAGGAAGCAATACGAAGAGTGGCGGCCGTGGTACAAGGAGGCTTACGACGAATGGCGAAATTCTCCCTACGGCAACGTGTGGAGTAGGTTCGACCTAGACAAAGTTCTCAACAAGCATCTCGTGGGTCGCACATTCGCAGACGAGCGGGACATTGCGGATATCATTTCGAGGTGGTCGAACCCTCTCGTCTGGCCAAACTCGGGCCCGGAGGAGCTCCCATGGCTCTTGGACAGTTACGACATGATCGACAAGAGCAACTGGTTCTACCGTGCCCTGTGCATGCTGATTACGGCGGTGCTCCCAATCCGTTTCGAGCCGCTTCACGTGAACCCGCGGGAAGGCCACATACCGGAACTGGTGAAGAACCCCTGGACTGTTCGACCCTCGGTGCTGGAGGGCCGGCCGGAAGAGGAGCGCGACTTTCTGAACCGCATTGCGGATTCGGCGTACCGCGAATCGGATCCGATTGAGAACACGGCAGACTTCGTGCTCAACTTTCCAGGTCACAAACTTGACGGGGAGCAAGGCAAGGAGCCCTACATCATCAAGGACCCCCGATCGCCCCGAGCTCTCCGAAGACACTTCCTCCACGAAGCGGCTGGCTATTTCAAGATATACGAGAATCTCTGTGCGGCACCACTGGGTCTCAAAGAAGCCTTTGAGGCAGCTCTCAAGGACGTCGCGGCGCAGGTCGGGAATCTCGCTGATCCCGATGTCAACAGAGAGGGCACGTGGCTCAGCCTCAACTTTGCCATGCCTGGGTATACTCGCGCGTCGCAAAAGACTTGCCTGTACAATACCGTCGAGCAGTACCGCCCCATCTGGGGCCGTGACGCGGATCCGGACCTGGTTGATGCGAGCCTGCCCACTTGGGCGCAGATGGTCGACGTGATGGCGCCCCTGGAGGACAGGCATCGCGTTATGGATCAGTGGACGCCGACGGACATCGTGGAGCAGAATAGTGGAAATGGCAGACAAGTGTGCATCATTGAACGCCGCACCGTCTATCTGGTCTACTTCTGGGATGCCGTCAAGCCGCCAGAGAGAAGCCCGCTGTATGATGAGTATTACAGCTGGGTCAGCTTAGGGCGACCAATTCCGATGCAGGACGGCGATCTAATGCTCGACATGCATGTAGCGAACAACAGCGGGCAATGCAATCCGGAAGCGTTGATAGGGCGATATATACCAGAGTATCGAGAGCACGAGGTGGCCCTGCGTGATGGACGGGATGGCCAGCCGTTCTGGATCGTTCTCGAACGGAACATTTTTGATATCACAAGTAAGTTCGCTTCGTACCGTAGCTGATTGCAGCAAACTGACTGCTCGCAGACTGGACTTCTCCAATCGTCACCGAAGAAGGCCAAATACCACTGCACACACTCCTGCGCAGCGTGCCGGGTGGGAGCCCTGCACATAAAGTCATCATGAGCCAATACGATCTTTCAGAAGTCAGGAGCAGCCTCTGGGAAACCAGAGTCGGTACAGTCTGGGCGGGCGAGATGCCCAAGACGCGCACCTTTAACGTCTACACTAGGCGTGAGGTGGCAGCCCATCGATACCTCCACAAAGAGTGCCCCCTTGGTGCCTATATAATTATTTGGAACAATGTCTATGACGTGACAGGTACGTTTGCGAGGAGCATCTAGATGATACCCCAGTTCCGTCGTTTCAACGAGTACTGACAAGGCGAACAGAATGGGCGCGTCTGCATCCGGCGGGCATCCAGCTGATTGCACCGCACGTGGGAAAGGATGTATCGGACATGTTTAGAGAAAACCACAACTACCTTGCTATCCTGAGTGCCATCGAGCATCTTCGCATCGGCCGCATCGTACCCGAGCACGACCCTAACAAAAGGGTTCCGCCTCACACGTTTGCGCATCACGACACACTCATATCCTTCCAGCCAGATTGTACGTTGTGGCCCATGAACATGACCGGCCGTAAGATTACTGACACGTTTGGGACAGGGATCCAGGATACAGCTCGTGGGGAAGTCTATCGAAGCCTTTGGAACGAGCACAGCCCATGGGCCATAGACGACGAAGGCATCTTCGCGGATCGCCACCACTACAGCCTCGAAAAGAGGAGAGTGATCGAGACAATGAGGGGGTCGATGGAGCTTATCACGCACAAGATCCGCAGGCCCCCGTTCGAGGACGTGGCGCAGATGTTGCCTGCCATCTTGGAAGACTTCAATGGCCAGAGGATCGACGAATGGACTCTCGCATTGGCCTTTGTTGCTGTTGATGAGTGGGTGTACGACGTGACGAGTGAGTAGCCTATGTATGCTGCCCTGCTAGTCATGGGTACCTGAACTGACTGGACAGACGTCATGAGATATGGCATCGAGGAAGAAAAGGCCAAGCTCAGCCCGTGGGTAGGTCGCGCCATCGACGACGAAGAAATCAGGAATTGGGTCATCGAAACCTTTGAGTTTGCCGTCGTTGCGCAGCTGGTCGAAGAAATCACCGAGGACCCTGACGAGTGTGAGAATTGGGACCCTCGGATACCAGATCGTGAGTCCATCTTGCTCGAGAGACCAAGTCCAAGCACAACCTGCTAATCCTTCAATAGACAAGCCCGATCAGATTTATAAGAAACTTATCAACCTCGTCGCCTCGTCAGGGGCGAAGCCACAGAAGAGGAAGCGCGAAGAGGAAGACACAACGGAGACGACAGAAGATCGAATTGCGCCCATCAAGAAGCCCAAGCTAGATTCAGAGGGAAGCGAGGCGTCGGACGACAGCTTCACGAAATACTTTGAGCCGTCAGCCGAGGATTCGGACGCTGACGTCCACCAGTGGGGGAAAGCGATGATGGCTTCCCTTGCTCCGGGAGATGGGGGCGATGATGGCGAGCCACCGGATGACCGCCCAACAGAGCGCAATGATCCCTGGAACAGAGAAGCCAAAGCTCCCAATCGTTCGTCGTCTTCCTCGCCCGGACGATCTAGCCGACGGACAGCTTCAGGCCGCGCAAGAGGCAACGCAGCACGGGGTTCGGGCAGCTCAAGCCCCTCGCGGCCTCGCACGCCAGACTTTGACCCCCTGGACATCATCGATCAGCGGGCGCTCCAAGACAGCCTGCGAAGCAGACTAACTACGCTGGCCGACAGGTCCAAGATTGCCAAGCCCGCTCAACGACGAGGCGCACGGCGCGCCCAAGCCGAAGCGTCACGCAGCTCGCCCGGGTCCTCGAGCCGAAGCACCACCACGACGCCCGAGAAAGGCCGCACGAGCCCCTCCAAGGCCCGACCGGACCCCGAAACACCCACCCGCGGCCCCGCGAGACGCGCCCCGGCCCAGCAGCAGCCCGCGTACAGCGCGCAACCGCGCGAGAACCTGCCCGCGGCTGGTGGGGGCTGGCTCACCGAGAGCGAGAAGCGGCGGCGCGCCATCGACGAGGTGCTCTACCGCGAGCAGGCGCCCGCGGCGCGTGTCGTGGCCGGGACGGCGCGGCCGATGGGTGCCCGGGAGATGAGCATGATGCGGCGTGCCGTGATGCAGGTTGATGCCGATCGCGAGCGGATGATGCAGTGGAAGGACACGCGGGAGACGAAGCAGATCCGGCCTTCGCTCGACGCCCTGACCAAGCTCGCCGTCGACCGCGAGGAGGAGCGGAATATCGAGATCGAGGAGGGGAAGAGAGCGGAGGTATGGCTGGCGGAACAGCGGGAGAAGGCAGAGGCCGACTTGGCCAAGGGACCCGAGATGCCGACGAGTCAGCCCGCCGCCCCGGCGACGTCTGTGTCGCTTCCCATCGTGGGCGGCCCGAGGCCCTCCCCCTCGGATGCACCCACGCTGGAGAGCCTCGCGCTGGAGAGGCTTGCGCAGGGCAGTCTGGCGGCGGCGAAGCTCGAGCAGGAGACGGAGGAATACCAACGGCTCTGCGTCGTTCTCAACGGCAGCATCCCCCAGTTCGGCGCCCCCTTCGGCTTTGCCAGCAAGGAAGAGCGCGCCCGCGAAAAGGCCAGCCTCGCCGCCAGGCTCGAGAAAGAGGCCCCAACAGGGAAAAAGGGTCCCGCCAAGGGCCCAAGGACGGCGCCAGATGATCCTGCGCGGGCGGCGGCACGGCGGGATCTCGAGAGGAGGGCCGCGGCTGAGTTTTCCGACTTTGAGGCTAGAGGCCTCAGGGGACAGCTGCAGCCGCGGGAGATGATCCCCGTGCTCCGCGAGCGGTTGCGCCGACAGATCCTCAGGCGCACGCCACAGTACAGTATAGGCATTCGTGGTCATATGGAGCGGGCATTGGCACGGGTCAATCTTGCCGACTATAGGCCGAGGGGCAGCACCTACGTGCACAATGAGGAAGAAGAAGACATTTACGGCCCGTCGTAGGACGTCGGTCTGACGGATGGCTCGACATAGAGGACCAGCATTATATAGTTTTTGTGCTGTAAGGCGTCAGCCGCTAGACGGTCACCGTCTAAGGCGGACGAAGACAAGCTACTGGGAAGAGGCTGAGGCGGCGGTGGTGCGACTGGCAAGGGACCGGGAGTGTGGGAATACTTTATAACGGGAGGCAATTATAGGGAGTTTTGCAGAGATGGCGTAACAAATGTAGTGGGTTGATTTTATATTTTTAGGTTAGCTTCGTACCTCTAGTGAAGTGTATTAATATGAATCAAAGTCGAAAACGGGTTACACACTGGTACATAACCAACAAGCTTGCGTCCGTAAGACTCATAAGAAACCGTATATAAGTGCGGACAACCACCAAACAAACATCACTTGACATAAACACCACGATCATGACTGTGAGCGAAACCTGTGTGTAGGTGTTTACCATCTACCACAAACATCACATATGCGACATCATAACCATGACCGCGAGAGCAGCCTCATCCAAACCTCTATCCAAGCAACCCATTTTTCAACTCCGTCTCGATGCTCCGGTCTCTATCTTCGCCCCAAGCCGTCCCTGTTGCCGTAGCGTCCAAGTCTAAGCCAGCCCCTCGGCCAGCCTCTCAAGCACTTTCCACCCCTCACTCCCCTCCCACGCCGTCCTGGCCTTGCCCATGACGCTCCGCACCGCACTCCTCGCCTTGCCCCTCCACCGCTCGCCCACGCCCTCGGCCAAGGCGCCATAGTTCTCCAGCACGCCGACGAGCTCGTCCGTCCGCGCCACGACCTCGCCCCAGGCCTCCTCGTCCTCGAGCCAGCTCTTCGCCGCGCCCCCGTCGCTGGCCCCCAGCGCCGAGGCGCTCCCCATGGCCGTCCTCCAGCCCTTCTCCGCGGCGTCGACGGCGCCCTTGTAGTCGCGCCGCCACGCCCGCACGCGCGCCACAATCTCCCACAGCTCCGACCGCGTCGTGATGAGCGGCACAACGGCCTCCTCGAGGAAAAACGCCACGGCCCGCGCCAGGGTGCCGCGGGGCGGCTCGTACACGCCGGTCGTGCTGCTGCTGCTGCTGTCGACGTCCTGCTTGGGCTGCGAGATGAGCGCGTCCTGGACGAGCGCGCGCAGGACGGCAGCGTCGAGGGCCGTCTCGGAGGCGCGGATGCGCACGAGGGCGCGCAGCGCGTGCAGCACGTCGGTGTAGGCGGGCGGGTGCGAGCGCGTCGCGAGCGTGAGGACGTTGTCCCAGATGCGCCAGTTGTCCTGCGACAGCGTGGCGCCGCGCTTGTAGGCGGCGAGGGACTGCGCGAGGATGACCTCGGGGTCCTGTTGCGTCTTCTTGCCCTCCGTCGTCGCGGCCGTCGCGTCGCCTTCTTCGTCGTCGGCGGGGGCGGGAGCGGGTGCGTCCTCGAGCTTGGCGTCCTTGAGCTCGGCGCGCAGGTCGTCAATCACCTGCAGGTACTGCGACCACAGCGCCGAGCCGAGGTTGCTCCAGGTGCGGGCGTCCTCGCCGCCGATGGGGTCGCCTGCCGCGGCGATGGCGCGGCGGTAGGCTTCGGCGGCGTCGCCGGGGCGGCCGAGGCGGAGGTCAATGTCGCCGAGGCGGGACCAGAGCTCGGGGCTCAGGCGGTTGCTGCCGACGGCCAGTGCGTAGGCTTCGCGGGCGGCGGGCAGGTCCTTCTTGGCGAGGTGGTACTCGCCGAGCGACTTTTGGGCGCGGGCGAAGCGGCGGTTGGAAATCTCCCAGGCGCGCAGGTAGTGGCTCGGGTCCTGCTCGAGGTCGCCGAGGATGCAGAACAGGCGCGGCGCATTGGGCACGGCAGGGCTGCGCTCGGGGCCGGAGAAGTGCGCCGGCGTCAGATGGACAACGTCATCGGGGAGGTCTTCGGCGTCTGGGTCGACGGGCGACGTGGTGCCGGTTGCGTGGAAGAGGCGCCAGCGCATGATGCCCTTGGCCTTCTCCTCTCCGCCGCTGCCGCGTCCAGACTCGTCGTCGGCCGAGGCGGCGGCTGCCGTGGCGAGGCAGAGCGCAACCTCGGCCCAGAGGCGGAGACGCTTGAAGATCTCGAGGGCAGACACAAGGGAGCCGACGTGAGCCCACGAGTAGGCGAGCTCCGACTCGAGGTGCCAGCGCGGCGGAGACGCGAGCGCGTGGATGTACTGCAGACGGACATGGGCGGGAGCCGAGTCGGCGGCTTCAGCGGCGCGGAAGAAGGTCGTCGGCTTGTCCGCGTCGGCCTCGGGTGCTTGGTCAGGTGCCGTGACGGCGATCGCTGGCACGTCTGCGTCGTCGTTCTTCTTTTCCTCGTCCTTCCCCTCGTCCTTCTCCTCGTCCTTGGCCTCGTCCTTGGCCTCGGCAGGCTGCTCCGTATCAACAACGACCTGGTCGACCACAGCCTGCATCTGCAGCACGCCCCGCTCAATAGTGCGACTCCTGTGCATCTCGATCCTCGACCGCACAAGCAGCGCCTGCGTGTAAATCTGCCAGTTGGTCGACTTCTCCGAAACGACGCGCACGGCATACGGCAGCACCTCCTCGGACGTCAGCGTGTCGACGGGCGAGAAGGAATCCCTGAGCGTCGCCTCGGTCAGCAGGATGATCTGGTCCAGGGGCGCGAGCTGCGGCTGCTCGTCCGGCTTGATATCGACGAGCGCAGCCGGCAGCGTGGCAGACTGGGCGGCATCGCCGTCACGGCCCTCGGAAAAGTCAATCTTCTCGAGCAGCGTGTCGTCGTTGAGAGCCAGGGCATCGGGCTTGGCCTCGGCCTCTGCGTCGCCCTCGTCAGCGACGGCCGTATCCTCCGTCTCGTGCGTGGCGCTGCGCGCCAGCACGACGAGCTGACTGATGCTCTTCTCCTGGAACCGCGTCCTCTTGCCCAGGGCACCCGAGAGCGCAAACTCGAACCTGTTGAGCCTGGTGGCCTCGCCGAGGGCCTCGCGCGCCTTGTCGTCGCGCCCCAGCATGATCCACGCATTCGCCGCCTCGAGCAGGAACTGCACCTTGTCCTGACGCGCCCACGGCACGCCCTCGGCCGAAGCGAGCGCCCAGACATCGTCATCGTGGGCGTCGCCAAACAGCTGTCGGCGCACGCGCCCCAGTGACGCCGTGACCGTCTCGGCGAGGGACGGCACGTCGATCCATTGCGACGTCTTGGCAAAGGACGCGCCAGACAGCGACGGCTGGGCCAGGAGGCGGTAGTGCCAGACGGCAAGGCGCAGGCGCAGCCACGAGAGGGAGACGGTCGTCGCGGCGTCGAGCGCGAGCGGCGCCGTCTCGGAAATGGTCGTGGCAGGAGCGGCGGCAACGACGCGGCGCGCAAAGGCAAAGAGCTCAATGTGCGGAATGTGGGCATAGGGGGCCACGCCGTCGACTTGGAGGTCGACGAGACAGGCCCTGCGCAGCGTCTTGACGTCTCCGTGGCCGGCGACGAAGAGGGCCGTCACAGGCCTCGCGTTCTCGAGAACGGGACCTGTGACGTTGGACTGCAGGAAGGCGTTGAGGGCGGCGACGGCAATGACCAGGGATTCCTGCTCGTCGGTCTGGGCGGCTTGCTCGGCTTGCGGTGTTGCCGTCTTGAGAGACTGGGTGAAGGCCTTGATGAGGGTCTTGGCCGGCTTGGAAGAGAGCACCTCGACGTACGAGCCAGCTGCTACCTTGGCGGCCAAGCCCTGCGGCGTGGCTGCTGGTGGTTGCATGGCTATGGTTGCCCAAGGCTGCTGCTGCTGCTGCTGCTGCCGCTGCTCTGTGACTGAAATGACCCCGCGATGGTGTGGTGGTGTGGTGTGGTGGTGATGCTGGTGAGGCTGCCCCGCCTTGTCAGCGTTGGGGGCCTACAAGCTGGAAAACGGCTCGGAAGACGGTCGAAAAATAGCAGAAAGCCTCTCCTGGGTATCAAGAACTCTTCTCCCAACGCTCAAGCAGCCTGCCGCTGAACTGGTGGCACGGCGGATGGAATGGATTCGAGGTTGACTGACTGAAGAAGAAATGCAATGTCGATTTCATGGTGGGGGCGGGGCTCTTTCTCTTTCCACAGAGTTTTAAGTCGCTGACCTAAGCACCTTCACCGAGCCTCACCATGCACCGAGCTTCACCTTCACCTGCACTGCGATTACATCACAATAGGTACCCAAGGACACGTAGATCCATGCATCTTGTTCAACAGTGGACTGCTACTGACTGTGACATGCTCGCTTTACAGAGTACATCATGACGCTGCTGGCGTGACATGCCCTCGACAGATCATCATCAGCTTTCCCTTCATACAAGTACACCAACTGTCTCAAAGCAGCACCTCCTCGCCTCCCCCTCATGGCCCCCCCTCATGGCCTCATCAAGCCCTGATCGAGACTTATTTCTTCGACCCCTTCTTGCGTCCCGACACAACCTTGAACGCGGCCCCCTGCATGTTCGTCTCGGCCGTCGGAGCGCCCGCCTCCTTGGCGCCGCTCTTCTTGGCGACCTCGCTCCACCCGCTGCCCGACGCCGCCGTCTTGCCCTCGCCGCCCGCCGACGTCGGCTGCTTCTCGACGATGCCCTGGTCGGCCCGCCTCTTGCGTCGCACAAACTCCTCCGCAAAGTGAGCGCCATTCATAGTCTTGCTGTTTGCGTAGATGGCGTCCGCAATCACCGACGTCTCGGCCGGCAGGATCATGAGCATCGCGGCAAACGTGTCGACTGCATCCTGGTTAGCATGCTTTCTCCTCAATTCACAATTCGCAAAGTCAACTCACTGTCGACACCGTGGATGCCGCCCCGCGTGAGCTCCCGGTTGAGCCACTTGTTGAACTCGTCCATGGCCACGTCCGTCTTGCCAGCGGCCGCATTGACGCTGCTGGCGACGGGCCGCGCGACCACCGGCTTGGGCGTCTACGACACGGGCTTGACATTGGTCGTGCTGACCGAGCGCAACGACGACTGCGCGCCAGCCCGATGACAAGAGTAAAGACCTGATATAGAGTTTATATGAAAGAACTACATAGAGTACTCAAGAACCAAAAACCTAGGAAAAATATAAAGGTGCTCCTCGTCATAAAAGAACAACAGACC